TACCACTGAGCTATAGCCCCATCCCCAAAAGGTTTATTTCTGAAAGTAGTATGCAGGTACCCTCTTCTCCTGCCAGTTTAGATGCTATCATCCGTTAATGATTGCCAAACTGGTTAGTGACAAGTAATGTCATTGTTACTTTAATTTGCATTTTGCTGACTAAAAATGAAGCTGCGTATCTTTCATGTACTTATTGAATGTTTGGATTTCCTCTTCTGTGTATTCTCCAGTTCATATTCCCTTTCCATGTTTCTATGGGGTTATGCATTTTTTCCTTATCAATTTTTCTGGTTTGGGACATTATATATAATTAACTTTTTGTGTGACATATGAGTTACAAATATATGCCCTAGGATGTTGTCTTTTAACTTTTTAATAGGTATTATTATTTTGCTTTTATTATTTATATGTAATACTATATTATTATTCACATTTACAGTACTAAATACAAAAAATTATATTAAATTTATGTAGTGTTTTCTAATCATTCTTTTAATCTCTCTCTCTCTCTTTCCTTTGGTAGTGGGGTTGAACCCAGAGGTATTTTACCGCTGAGCCACATTCCCAGCCTTTTTTGTTTTTAATTTGGAGACAGGGTCTCACTAAGTTGCTTAGGGTCTCACTAAATTGCTAAGGCTGGCCTAGAACTTGCAATCTTCCTGCCTCAGTCTCCCAAGTCCACTGGTTTTACAGTTATACACCATAGTATCTGCTCTTTCAATTTTTTTTTTAATGGTTTCTGAGTTTACTTTCTCGGCTGTAAAGATTTCTCTGAGGTTGTACGTATTTTCACATTTTCTTCTGAAAATTTTATTGTTTTGAAATATTTAAACCATAAGTTCATTGTAGTTTACTTTTGTATTTAGTGAAGATAACACTTTTAACATTTTCCATCTATTTCTGAACTTTCTGTTCTGTTCCACTTATCTGGTTTGTCTTGATTATGCTAATACATGCTTTCTTGATTAGCTTTAGACTATATCAACTGCCTAAGAAAACTCCCCTCTTTCTACTGTCCAGCCCCATTTTTTTCTTTCTCATATTTTGATTAGTTTTTTCCTTATGAATTTTAGGATAATTCTCCTAAAAAATAATCCCCTTTTTAAAAAAAGGCCCAGGGGCTGGGGATGTCGCTCACATGTTTGCATGTGTGAAGCACTGGGTTCAATGCTTAGCACCACATAAAAATAAATAAATAAAATAAAAGTCCATCAACAACTACAACTAAAAATATCTAAAAAAATTAAAAATTAAAAAATAATTTTTAAAAAGGCCCAATAACTTATTATTATTTACTTATATCTATCTCTTTATTCCCCCCCATTACTGGGGATTGAGCCCCAGGACCTTGTGCATGCTAGGTGAATGCTCTAATACTGAGCTATACCCCAGCCTTCTCTTTGACTATTTATACTGCCTATTTCATTTTCTCATTATATCTCTAGAAACTCTAAAATGGTGTTCAATAATAAGGATAACTGCAAGTATTCTCTTTTGTATCTTTTTAATGGAAATTGCCTTAGTATTTTACCAATTGACATGATGTTTGTTGGTGGTTAATAACAAATATTCTTTATCATATTTAAAATGGTTTCATTTTATTCTGATTTTAAGGATTATTTATCAGAATCAACTACTGGTTATATAAAATATTTCTACCCTACTGAAAGTATCATACAGCTTTCCTCTACTGATTTGTTGATATAGCAAATTATATTTTTCTTTTTCTTTTAAATAATTTTTTAGTTGTAGATGGACATAGTACCTTTAGTAATTTATTTTTATGTGGTGCTGAGGATTGAACCCAGTGCCTCACACATGCTAGGCAAGCGCTCTTCTACTGAGCCACAAACCCACCCCCTTAAGTTCTTGATATTGAACCATGTTTGCAGTCTTGGGATAAACCTTGTCAATATGAATGGTTTTTGATATATTGTTGAATTCTATTTGTTGATACTTAGAAATATTGTATTTTTATGTGCATATGATACAATATCAAGTTTTGCTAAAATTACTATAACTTCATATAATAAATTGGGTGCTAATTATTATTTTTTTTTGCTCTGGAATTACTTAAATAATTAAAATTACATGTTTTTTAAAGCTTAAATAAAGCTCATCTGTGAAACCATCTGATACCTCCTTTTTGCTTTAAGCAAAAATCTTTAAGCTTTTAAATTTCTTCTGAAAAGAGATTGGATTTTCTACTTTGTAATTTTTGAAATTTGTACTTTGCCAGGAAATCTTCCATTTTCAAATGTAATCACATAGAATTGTATATAGTATTCTCTGATCATTCTTTTAGTCTCTTCCAGTATAAATTTTGCAGTATTTTTTTGCTTTCTCTATTTTTCTTAAGATTTTAAGACATTTTTCATTTTCATTAATCTTTCTAAATAATTCTTTCAGTTAATTTTGTGTTTTTTTCTCCTAATGTCATAAGTATTAAGTTTCTCTAGTTTTAATTGAGCATTAATTTACAAACTATAAAATTCACATTTTTTAAAGAATTTAACCTTTATTTTTATTTATTTATTTGTATGTGGTACTAAGGATTGAATCCAGTTCCTCACCTGTGCTAGGCAAGTGCTCTATCACTGAGCCACAACCTCAGCCCCCAAGTTTGCATTTTTTAATGTATACACTTTGGTGGTTTTTAGTATACTCACAAAGTTGTGAGACCCTAAGTTCCTTCAGTTTTTCTCTTCCTTAGAAATGAGTAAGACATTGTAGTGCTTTTACTATTGCTTTAGTCTTATCCTTAAGGTTTTTGACTTGGAGTCTCTTCTTTTTCATTGCTTTTCAGTTACTTTTTCTTTTGTTTTGATTTGCTTTCTGATTGAAGGATTATTTATAGGGTATATCTTGATTTTTCAAAACAATTTTTAGTTGTAGATGGACACAATATCTTTATTTATTCATTTATTTTTATGTGGTGCTGAGGATCAAGCCTAGTGCCTCACATATGTGAGGCAAGCACTCTCCTGAGCTACAGCCCCAGCCCTTGATTTTTATCTTTAAAATTATTTACCTGTTTATATTTCTCTATTTTCCAAATTCTTAAAAGCAGGTGTGTACTACTTTTATAACTAAGACAAAATAATAAATTTTTAAAAAGTTATACTTAAATTTTTAATCTATTTAAAATTTACTTTAAGAAATGCAGTAGGAATCCACCCCACCCCAAATAATAGCCAGTTGTTCCAATAGTTCTTATTAAATGGACTCTACTTTTTCATGATCGTACAATGCAGTAAACATAAACTGAATTTCCTTTTGTGTTTGAGTGTATTTCTGAACTCTATTCTGTTCCACTTATGTATCAATATTTCCTTTCTGGTTCCAACAGGAAAAGTTTGACAACTGAATATGTTTAAAAATATCTAGTAGAGTTATTCTCTCATATCTATTTTCATAATTTTCTTGGTTATTCTCATGTTTAATTTTTCAAAAGAGCTTTAGTGAATAAAATTATTTTTTTAGTTGTAGATGGACACAGTATCTTTATTTTTATTTGTTTTATTTTTATGTGGTGCTGGGGATCGAACCCAGGGTCTCACGCATGCAAGGCAAGCGCTCTACCAAGGAGCCAACCCAAGCTTTGGTAACTTTTTATGATGTTCTGAAACTTCACTGATGATTTAACTGTAATTGAGCAACTTTTGTAGATTGTTTTAAATAACAATACACTATATATTGAGTAGCCTACCTAAGGGAAAAGTGTATCTTTCCATTTGCAAAAGTAATTTTATGTCCCTTTGTAGAGTTTGGATAATTCTTTCATGTAGGTCCTACGGATTCTTAAGTTTAGACCTAGGCATTTTATTTCAGTTGTTATTGCAAATACATATTTCTTTCTCTCTCCTAGTTGCATTGGCTAAGAAATTTAGGAAAATGTTAAATAAATGTTGTTACACTGGGCATTTGGAGATGCTTCTAATATTGCACCATTAGGCATAGTAAAATTACCAAAATGACATATGCTCACTTAGGCAGGTTAGTACATACCCTAGAGGTTTTTCTCTTCTTTTTAACACCTGGCATATAGTTAACATTCAACAAATGTTGACTCTCAGTAAGTGCTGTTAATACTTATGTACACAGAGACACATAAGTAGTACAGGATCATGCTAAATAGAAAAAAAAAAAACTAATAAACATTCCCTGAGCATCTCCTGCAAATTACACTCCTTAGTAGCTTCTGCATTTAGAACCTAGTTCGCCAGTTGATTTTGACAACATTCAGTGATGGAAAGAGCACCGCAGTGGGAAAATGTCACTCGGGTTCCAATCCCATATGCCACTGATTTGATGACCTTGGGTGGTTTTTAACCAAGAGCTTCCACATAACCAGGAGAGACAATTTGGGCGAAGAGGGACAGAATTCATTTAGGGAAAGGCGTGTGATCACCACTGTTTCTCCCTCTCCCATTCAATGGCGAGTTTATGTCTAACACTCAGCAGAGAGAAAGGCGGTGGAACTGAGGTACCTTTGGGAGAATGGACGTGGTGACGGGAAATTAAAAACAAGTCGGGATCCTTACCACCCAGTGCACCTGGGAAAATCTGGGTTCGGTTATGCTCGTTTATGATGGGAAGGTAGATTCCTGGTGCACCCCACTAAGTTCCATCGGCTCCCAAGAACTTTTATTCTCCACCTCCAGGAGCTGGACCGGTCACCCAGAACGCTGGTCTGGAACCTGAGCAGACCAGCCGACATTAACACCCAGGCCTCCTGACGCTCTTTGGGGCACACGGAAGGGTTAGAGGCCACCCCAGACACCTTTAGGGAGAGTGACGTCGGTGAAGGAGGGGACGATCTAAAGGTCAAAAAGGTCACGAGAGTTTTCCTCGCGGGGCTGGCGCTTCTTGAGAGCGCTGGGCCTGCTCGGGGGCGGGGAAGAGGATGGGCCCCAGGCTGTTGAGTGGCCGCCCTCCCAGCCAATGAGAACGTCGCCCCGCTCGCCGCGGTCCCGCCCCTCCCGGCGCCCGGTACTCACTTTCCCCACTTCGGCGTTGCCCATGGAGATGACTTTGATGCGGAGGGACTTGCCAGGCTCCTTCCGCTTGGGCATGTTGGCCTCCATTGCCCTGGCTCTCTCGGGGCCGCCTGAGTCTCTCCTCGTGCGCCAAGCCGGCCCGTCCCTCAGGCCTCGTCGCCCAATGGCGGAGCCGCTGCTCTCGTCACCGGCCGGGCTCCACGGCTCGCCATCCCCGCCGCTGCCTGGCAGCAGGCGCGGGCGGTTGGGAGGCAGGGAGCCGGGGGAGGGAGAGGGGAGTCTCGCGATGCTGGAGCGCGGCGGCTGACGTCATCGCCGGGCCCCGGAGACGCGGCTCTTGTCACCCGGTTTCTGGCTCCGGCGACCGTGCCGAGCCGGGTCCCTTGACGGGAGGGCGGCGTCGTGGGGCGTCTGGGTTTACACTGCGGGAGAGCGCGGCCTTGTTTTCAGGGCGCCAGGACTGGAGGCATTTGTTGCTATCGCACCTCGCGGTAGAGATCTTGGATGGTTAGGGGAGATGCTCAGTGTCAGTTCAAGGCCCAGCCACGCCATTAATTCCAAGCAGACCTCGGCTTCTTTTTTTTTGCTCGGGGGAGTTGTTCCTTCCAGGGTTCTTCTCTACCTGAGTCCCTCTGCTATTACCTTTCCTCCTCCAGTACAGTTAGTTGTTCCTCTGTATCTGCTGGGGATTGATTCCAAGACCCCCTTGGAGCATCCCCTACTAAGGATGCTCCTGTCCCTTATATAATCGGCATAGTATTTGCACATAACCTGCGCACAGCTTCATGTATACTTTAAAATGTTTCTAGATTACCTATAATATCAAATACAAGGCAAATGCAAAATAAATAGTTGTCATACTGTATTGTTTAGGGAATAGGAATAAGAAAATTTCTATTTCTGTACATGTTCAGCAAAACGTTTTGCTTCCCCCCCACTTAAAGTTTTTGAACTATTGGTTGAATCTGCAGACACAGAAACTGCAGATACACAGGGCCCACTGTGTTATTTTCCCTGCTCCAACATCCTGAGAGGCAGAGGTCAGGAGTTGGGCAGCTGGGGAAGTCAGAGCTCTGGTGCTGGAAGAACTAGGCAAGACAGAACTCTAAATCTGAATTTGGAGTCAAGGCGAAGGTTTTTGTTTATTCTTTGCTCCTGTGTTACATAGCTCTGCAACCTCATTAGTCGACTCCTCTGCAAGAGGAAAGCTCAGACTAGGTGCTTCTTATGTTCTTGTCTAACTCAGCAAGGTGTGCAGTTGTGGCTATAAACTCCTTCATGTTCCCCTCTGCCTGCACTCACATCCAAACAGCCTCGAATTCCTTTCTTACCTTTCCCTTAGCTGAAGAGTCAAGGTAGAAGAAAAATGAATTTTTAGATAACCACTTTTCTCAGTTCTTGGGATAAGAAAAGCAACTATTTGGAAAAAAAAGCCAGTCTGACAAGGAATAGAAAAAAAAAATTGAGTAGTAGCTTCAGTTACAAAAGATAAATAGAACTTGACATATGATTATTTAGTGCCCTGGATAAGAATGGTTGTCAATATTCCAGCAAATTACCAAGGCAAAAGTGGCATTACTCTTGTTCTAACATAGCCTTCAACATCTTAAATACATTTGTGGGAAGACAGTGAATAAAGGCTCAGAATATCATACTAGTTACTTTTAAATCAGATTTTCAAATATTTCAATTTTAAACATTAAATGCTTTTCCTACGAAAAGCTTTTTATGGATTGTTTGCATAATCAAATCAACTTTGTTCAATGAAACATCTAGAACTCTTTACACATATGTAATATAAGTCCTGGTTTGAATTTTGATAATTTAAAGCTTAAAAGAATGATACTTCATAAATCCAAGATGGTGATCTATCATTACTTAAAAAATCACTAAACGTTTAATTTCTGTGATGGTTAGCTTTTGACCCTGTAATAGAACTGATATTGTGGAAGAATAATTGCAGAATTTCAAATATTCAGCTGTCAAAGATTGCCTTAGTTATGATACCTTTGATAATAAGGGCAGTAAAACATATTGAAGATCATTCATATTGATGTGATTTCATATTGAAGCTTTAATATGTATGGCCACATGTTCTGCATGCATTCAGTTGGTTGGAAATTGAAAAAGCAAGAAAGTTAGCTTTCTTTTTACAGTCTTTAATATAAAAAGAAGAAAGAGTATCAGGGATTATTTATGTATATTATGGACCAGGAAGGTACAGTATGAGCGTGAGTTCTGTTACTCAGTATGTTGGGATGACAGAGGCATGTGATGGTGGTAAGCATTGTTGGAAATAATTCATGTGAAGTACAGTCAGCCCTCAAGGGATTGATTTCAGGAACCCCTTCAGATATTCAAGTCTCGATATAAAATGATGTATGTGGTATTTGCATATAAGTATGTATATCCTTCCATAGATTTTAAATCATCTCTCAATAACTTAATAAAATAAGTTAATAATAAATAATTAAGTTAATAAATAAATAATAACTAGTACTAACAGCAAATGCTGTGTAAATAGTTGTTACGATATATTGTTTAGGGAACAGTGATAATAACAAGAAAAATATCTGTACATGTTTAATACAAAAACAAACCATTTTTTCTGAATAATTTTGATCCATGATAGGTTGATTCTATGGATGTATGGAGGTAATCATCCAATAAACAGTAAGTATATGCATTTGTTTACTCATTTTCCCATTTTTAATGTATCAGAAAAGATTTTATATATTCAAAATATATACTTTAAAAAGTAAATTATGGAGGGGTGGGTTTGTGGCTCAGAGGTAGAGCACTTGCCTAGCATGTATGAGGCACTGGGTTCGATTCGGAGCACCACATAAAAATAAATAAATAAAGATATTAAGAAAGACTCTTTGGGAAAGTATTATAAATTAAGTAAATTATGAAATATTTTGGGCATACTTAAATGTATATATAAAACTATAATGAATACTTATATATCTGCCACCTGGCTTAAGAAAGAAAACATCACCAAGGCTGTGTGTACCTTTCCCCAAGACATCCCTCTCCTCCCTCTCTACAAAAGGCCACAGCCATATAAATTAGTGCTTTCCATCACCAGGCATTTAAAGTTGTTGTACTACATTTTTATATACCTTAAAATGTAGTATTACTGGGCTGGGGTTGTAGCTCAATGGTAGAGTGCTTGTCTTGCATTGTGTGAAGCACTCAGCACCACATATAAATAAATAAAGGTTCATTGACAACTAAAAAAATATTTTTTAAAAAATGTAGTATTGCATTTCATCTTTAAAAGGTCTTTATTTTGGAATAATTTCACAAAAAATTTCAAGAACAGTACAAAAATATTTGTCTACCTTTCCAGACCCATCAATTATTAACATTTTGTCCCATTTATCATATCAATTGTGCCACTAGCTTTCTGAATGTACATATATACATATTTTCTTTGAATTATTTGAGATTAATTTGCAGACATGTTTCTTTATCCATATATATTTTAATATGTCTTGTCTAAGAACAAGGATTTTGTCCTACATAAGAAAAGTTTATCAAAATCAGGAAATGCGACATTTATAAAGCACTATTATATAATCTTGTGATTTTTTCACATTGCACTGAGCTGTCTCACAGCCCCACAGTGAATTCACAAGGGGATATCTAACTTTTCAAGACAAACAGAATGAAACAAGACAGCAAAACTACTAGCTTGACATCGTTTATAATAACAACAATAGATGGCGCCACATTCCTTGTATATGTCTTATCTTGGTTAAACTGTATTTCCTTATTGTGATTAAAAAACAGGTATAGTGGTCTGGGGTTGTAGCTCAGCAGTAGAGTGCTCGCCTAGCAAGTGCAAGGCCCTGGGTTCCATTCTCAGCACCACCTAAAAATAAATAAATGAAATAAAGGTATTGTGTCTAACTACAACTGAAAAAAAAAAAAAAGATATAGTAATCCCCAGCATCACAAACAAACAAGTATGGTGTAAAATCAATGCAGAACCATAAATGAGGATGGTCTTGTCCAATCTGAGAAGTACAGTGACCCACCCATGTGTGTGTGCACTTCACTGATGATTAATTACTAAATTAAAATGAAATAAATTTTTTTTTCAATTTACATGTTTTCATAATGGCTACTAGATTCTTATGTTATAATTACCTAATAAGTTGTTTGGACCTAGGTATGTCATTTGAGCAATGGGCAATGTGAAACAAAAATTACTGAGTTATTAAAGTCATAATGAACAAAGAAAATTGATAAACTTTGAACTAATCCATAGTTTATTACAAATTTCATCAGTTGTCCCCAAAATGCTTTTTATAGCTATGTTTTGTTCCCTAACCTATGATCATTTTGTTGTCTTATACTTTTAGTTTCTTTAATCTGGAGTGATTCCTCAACTTTTATTTGTCTTTCAAAATCACATTTATTTTTAGAACATCCCACAATTTGTGTTTATGTGGTATGTTCCTGTACTTAGATTGAGTTATATTTGGCTGAAACCTGTTATGTCTTTTTTTGGGGCGGGAGGGTAGTGAGGATTGAACTCAGGGGCACTAGACCATCGAGCCACATCCCCAGCCATATTTTGTATTTTATTTAGAGACAGGGTCTCACCAAGTTTCTTAGTGCCTCGCTTTTGCTGAGGCTGGCTTTGAACTCATGATCCTCTTGTCTCAACCTCCTGCGCTACTGGGATTATAGGCATGAGTCACTGCACCCGGCTGTTATTTCTTTTTTGAGGCAGATTATCAGAAAGTTGTAATGCCATTTGTCCCATTTATTAATGATGTTAACTTTAATTAGTAGGTTAAGGTGGTGTTCATGAGATTAATCCACAGTAAAGTGACTTTTTCCCTGTGTAATAAGTAACTTGTAATGAGATGATTCAAAATTTCATAATTATTCTTTCATCATTGAACTCTTACCCACAAATGTTTAAAATCCAATAGTGATTCATAGCTGAAGAGATCATACTATGGATGAATGCAAAATTGTGATTTTCTAACTCTACTAACCCACTTCTAATCCACTTATTATTTTTATTCTATTCATTACTTTTCTACCATAAAGGAGAGTTTTCCTTTCTCACTCATTCATTTATTTATACCAGTAAGGCCTCATTGTGCTTATTTACTGCATGAATATTCTGTAATTACTATTTGTTTTTATGCTTAAATTAGCTCCTGTTTTTTGTTTATTTGTTTTAATGCTGGGGATTGAATCCAGGGCCTCCAAGCATGCTATGCTTTACCACAGAACTACA